TTATCAAGAACACATCTTTGATTTCCAATAAGCATGTTGAGATTATCTCTACCTTTTATAAAAATTTTCAAGTGTTTTTGTTAAATCATCAACATTGTCTTTTAAAGTAGTTTTCTCATTAGAGATAGTATCAAAATCATTTTTTCTTTCTTTAATTCTTCTACATTAATAGATAAAGATGCAACAGATTTCTTCAACACAATTTTTTTGGCACAAACTTTTCTAAATTCATCTTGTAGTTCATGGAATGCAGTTTCAAGTTCTTCATAAAGAATAGTTACCTCATCTTGAGTAGTGTCTTCATCTTCAAGAGCCATGAGACATAAGTTGGCTACTTCATTTTCAATTTCATCACTTGAGCTTTCATCTTCACTTTCTCCCCAAGCTGCTACCATGGCCTTTTTGTTTCTTTTGTAGTCTTTTCCATGATTCTTCAATTTTGGACAATCCATCGTCATATGTCCAAGCTTTTTGCACTCATAGAAAATAATAGACTCTTTCTTGTAATCTTTGTTGTACTCTTTCTTGAAAGGTCTTCTTCCCCCATAATTGTTTTTCTTGAAGTGCTTTTTGAGATTTCTACTAAACATTGCATAGCTTTCATCCTCACTGGAGTTTTCATGTTCTTCTTCATTTGATGAGGCTTTGAATGCAATTCCACTTTTCTTTTTGTTTTCAACATCCTCATGTCCTTTCATGGTGATCTCATGAGTCATAAGGGAACCCATAAGCTCATCCAATCCAAGTGTGGAGAGATTTTTGGCTTCTATAATGGCCGTGACCTTTGCTTTCCAATTCTTTGGTAAACATTTAAGAATTTTTCTTACCAACTCAGTGTTAGTATAAGTTTTTCCAAGAGATTTCAAAGAGTTTACAATTTCAGTAAATCTAGTAAACATACTTGAAATAGATTCATTAGAGTTCATTTTAAACAATTCATACTTATGAACAAGCATATCAATACGAGATTCCTTCACTTGGTTTGTACCTTCATACGTTACCTCAAGTTTGTCTCAAATTTCTTTTACCGAATCACAACTTGAAATTCTATTATACTCCTTAGAGTCTAATCCACAAACAAGGGTGAGTTTGACTTTAGCATTGGCTTGCAATAATTTATGCTCTCATCACATTCATCTTCAGTTTTAGGTACACTAATATTGTCTACTAATTTGGTAGGAATTTTTGGACCTTTGGTGACAATAATTCACATGGCATAATCAGTGGCTTGTAGGTATAGGGTCATCTTATCCTTCCAATGACTATAGTTATTTTCGTCCAACAATAGTGGCCTATTTGTGGCTTGTCCTTCAGCTAAGGTTGCCATGGATCGAAACTCCTAGATTGTTAAATCTAAAACAAGAGTCTAGGCTCTGATACCAATTGTTACCCAAAAGACAACCTAAGTGGGGGGTGAATTAGGTTTTAATAATTTAAATTAATAATACCCTAATAAAAATTATGACTAGCACAATAGATAAATATAATTAATGAAATAAAAATAATTAAAACAATTGTCTTAACAACTATGTCAGTTAATGATTTTAGCACAGTAAAAATGTGAAATATAGCTATGGCAATTTAAAATAAAATAAAGAGATAGGGAAGAGAGAGACAAACAAATTTATAGTGGTTCGGCTTCAACTCGGCCTACATTCACTCCTTAAGCTTCACTTGAGATTTTCCACTATACTCTAACTTCACAGGGTGCTAGCAACCTTTTCACAGATGGAGCAATCCTCCACAAATTTTACACTGACTTTCTAAATCAAGAACACTGAGTGTATTACACTCTTACAAGGTTAAAAAGAAGCTGTTTTTACTTTCACAGAAAGCTACAAGAATTATCTCTCAAAGATAGATATATAAAATGAAGCTTTGGATTTTCTGTAAACCTCACACAGAAAAGATGGGCTTAAAGCTATACGACTTAATGTATAATTTCTGAGAGAGGATGTAAACAAAAATTGAAGAACACTTCTCAGAGAATTTTTCAGAGAATAGATGAGATTGATTTTAGGTCAAAGAATATTTTCTGATTTTTTTTGTAACTTGTTTACATCAGAGACTTTGGTATATATAATGAAACTTATAGCTATTTATAGCTGTTGTAATTCATTTGAATATATAACCGTTTATAACCGTTGTATTCATTTGAATTTATAGCCGTTGTACTCCATCATTACTAATTTGAATATCTTCCACTCCATCATTACAAATTTGAATATCTTTCACTTGAACCTTTTGAACTGCTGATGTGCTGAGCTGTTTAAAATGGGACAAAATAAATTTTGATTCTATTTTTCTCTTTCAAATAAATTAAAACATAATATCATCAAAATAAATGTTGATTCTATTTTTCTCTTTCAAATAAATTAAAACATAAAATCATCAAAATAAATATTGATTCTATTTTTCTTTTTCAAATAAATTAAAAACATAATTAAATAAATCATCAAAATAACTAAGTCTAACACCCTACGTATCGTGTCTTGTATTTTTTTAAAATTTACATGTCATATCCGTATTATGTCGTGTGTCCGTATCCATGCTCCTTAGCATAACAATTTGTTTTCTTCTTTCCCTTTTATTGCCATTTGATTTCACAAGTTTAGTGTAAGAAAAAAAAATCAATGTTTTCAGCAATGCCTTTTTGTGTAGATCAAACAACACACGGACAAACTTTAGGGGATTGTATTCTGCTATCCTGGAAAAGGATGATGAGATCATATCTATGGCATCTGTGAGGTATATGTGCTCCATCACATCTACATTTTATGTTTATGCCTGTAGAAATATAAATCTGCATGTCTAAGATTTTCTACACAATCTTGCTATAGGATTCATGTGACAAAACTTGCTGAAATGCCCTTCATCGCAACCTGTGAGAGCTACAGGAGTCAAGGGATGTGTCGGAGACTAATGGTTGCAATTGAATCTGTAAGTTATTCAAGAATGCTACAACCAATTTCCTTTATTAAAAAAAAAAAAAGATATGTAAGTTAAAATTAGAACCGAATCCGACTGATGTGTTCTGCTTGGACTGGTGAGAGTTGTGGGCTCTCACCACACTCATTTTTCTTGGAACAAATCCTCATTGATTTCATTTCCATGGCAGGCTCTTTGCTACCTCAAAGTTGAAAGCATGGTCATACCCTCCATTCGCGAGAGAATCGGAACATGAACAGAAAGATATGGTTTTCAGCGCATTGGACCCTCACAAAGCAAAGAAATAAGGCATTGAAAACCTTAGCATTCCATGATTCATGGAGATTACAGAAGATCTTAGCAGTCCCTCAAGGTTCTCTCTTTCTCTTGCAAAATGTGCATGTGAAAGGTAGTAAACTTATTAATATAACAATAAAATAATAATAATAAAAACCCAAAAAATAAATAAATAAAACTATTTTTTAAAACAACAAATTTTAAAAACACTACTTTTTAAAAATAAAAATAAAAATAAAAATAAAAATACACATACACATACACATACAAAAACCCAAGACTCTTCAAACATTTATAGTTAGAGAGACTTGCTATACACAAAGAAAAATAATAAACATATTAATATAAAACTAAAATAATAATAATAATAACCCAAAAAACAAACAAAAAAAAAGGCTTTTTTTAAATACAAAAATAAACATACAAAAAAAATTAAGAGAAAAACAAATTTTTTTTTTTAAAAAAAAACCTACAAACCCAAGGCTCTGAACAATTATAATCAAAGAGATTTGATATAGATAAGTAAAAAATAATACTAAACTATAAATAAAAAAATTAAGTATAAAGTCAAAACTCATAAAACAATAATAAGTTGTCAATTAAAAAAATTAAGTACAAAGTCAAAAAGTCAAAAAATCATGTCAAAAAAAAAAAAAAAAGAAAACAAGGTACAAATTGAACAAATAAAAAGGAAATTAAAAAAAAAAAAACTACTTTTTAAACAACAAATTTTAAGAATACTAATTTTTTATTTTTAAATTTTAAGCATGCTCTAAGTTCCTACAAATACAAACAAGAATCTTTTATACCATATTCTTAATTATATTATTTTTTTCTTTAATTATGATATTATTTTAATTTTGATTTATGAAATTTTTAATTATGTCTCATATTATATTTAAGAATAGTTTGGAATATTCTAAATGAGTGCACTCTTTGACTTTTTATATATAAAAAAAAATATGTAGAAAAGTAGAGAAAATACTTAGAAAAATAGAAAAGATATATTAATTGATATGACCCAAATAAATATATGTAGATAAAAAAAATATACTCTTTTAATTTACCCCAAACACCTACTTAGTTATGACATTTTTTTTAATTTCAAAGTACGAAATTATTTAATTTTTTCTTTAGTTATAAAGTATATATTTAAAGAATGTGTACCGTTGTATTTCATTTCACGATTATTGTTTTTATCTTCTTTTTTCACTCACTATTTACTTCATAAGCCCAAAAAAATTATTTTACAAAATATAAAATTAAAAAAATAATAATAATAATAAATAAATAAATTTTTTATAAAAAAAACTAAATCTAAAACTAACGGTCAACCCGACCCACTTGAAGTTTCCTAGTAGAGTAAGAATTTTGAAAAAGATTGGACACGTTTGAAACCGATTATATCATCTCTCTCTCTCTCCTTCCCGCGAAATTGTGTCTCATTACTCCCCGCCCCCTCGCTTTCTCTCTCCTCTAAACCCCTCTCTCTCTCTCTCTCTCTCAACTTCAAATCAAATATTTCTCTCTCTCTCTAAATACTCTTTGAAGTTTCTTCTGATGATCAAACCCTTTCGATCATCTTATACACTTTCCTTTATTTGTCTGTCTCTTTTTCATTTCAAACTTTTTAGCCCAGGCTAAAATAGTCAAAAAAGCCAAAAAATCAAAAAGCCTTCATCAAAACAGAGCCAACCCATAAATATATATATATATATCATCAAGTCTATTTGTTTCATTCTATTCTACTTTGATCTTGCCTTTTGAACTACGTTTTGGGCTTTACCGTTGCGTAATGAACTAGTTTGATTCAAAATTTTAAATTCTTTCGGTGGGTTTATAGTCGAGATTTGAACTAGGGTTTGGTTCTTCTACTCAATGCTTCATTGAATGTCAATCCATTTGGGCTTTCTTTTCATATAAAAAGCTGATTTAGAGAGAGATAGTTATGGAAGAAGTTAAGGGGTCTGATGCCGAAGCAGAAAAGGATGGTGGAGCTTTGAAGTTTGATGTGAATAGTGATAGTGCTGATCTCAAGCCAGTTTCCCTTCAAGGGTTTGTGTTTTCTGCCTTCATTTTCTTTAATATTGTCTGTTTGGCTAGTGGGAAAATTCAGGAAAAGAAAACGCAACATTTTTGTTTATGTTGTCTGCGTTTACTTTATTTCTAAATTGCCTAGAAAATTGGCCAAAGAAAATAGAACGTTAAAAAGCTGCATTAGCCTATTGGTTCCAAAGCAATTTAATATTTTGAACAAGGAAATTCTAGCTTATTTTCTTTGATGACAAAAGGAAGAAGGAATAAATTTTATTTAATCTATAAAAAAATAGCTTATACTCAGTTGAAAAGTGGAACAAAGTAAAATAAACTCCTTTTTTACTTTTTTTTTTCTTCCCTTTTTGGATTCATTATTTAAATTAAATATAACGTATTAAATTCTTGTAGTTTGTATTAATGGATATCCAGAGTGATAATTTTGTACCATATTTACAGGAGGATAACTGGTCCAACAAGACGATCTTCAATGGGACGCTGGACAGAGGAAGAGGTGGGTTGTTAATCGTTATTTTATTGTTTATTCTAGCCTCCTTTATATATATATATATATTGTTTCTTTTTTTATGGGAAGATCACAATTAAAGGAAAAGAAAAGGGAAAATTACAATTCAGTGTAAAAGATCAGAAATAATTACAAATACATGGGGGCACAACTTTTTCTGTACAACAAAACCACAGCAGAAGTTGCAAAACCCCCTACTTTTGGTAAATATTTTCCCCATTTCTTACTGTCCTGTAAGCATTTGTGCTTGTGCTTGTATGTATGGCCAATGATTGAGTATGTCTCTGTTTTCTCTCCTATTTACAGGATAAAATTTTGGCCCTTTCGGTCCAAAAGTTCAAAGGAAGAACCTGGAAAATGATTGGTGAGTGTGATGTTGTTTTACTTGTTTTCAGCCTTATGCTCATGGAAAATGCAATAGTGTTTTTTTTTCTTAGTACATCCATTTTGTTGGTCATAAAACTAGAACCAGATGTTACTCTTGATTTCAAAAAGTGTTTTGAGAAGCAAACCGGGTTCACTGTTCAAAGCAAAATCACCAGAGCTCCATACAAATTTTTTTTTATGCATTCCTGAAAAGTCCCTAAAATGGTGACCTGTTGTGTTCTAGGACATTGGGCCAAATACACTAAGGCCAACAGTAGGGGGTGGGTATTAAATTTTTTCAAAATAAAAATAAAAATCTTAGAGGGCAACCCTATATTATTTGGAAATATTCTTAACTAATGCTACTATATTAAGAGGGGGTTTTGAAACTTTTGGGAGCGGTTCTGATGCTAGTTAAGTTTTTTGAAGAAAATTTACTGTCAAATTATGTTACTCTCTCTCTTTCTCTCTCTCTCAATTTCTTAAATGTTGACTTGATGGATTAACAACCCGTGATCTTCCACAGCCGAAAGCATACCTAATCGAACAGATGTTCAGTGTCTTCACCGCTGGCAGAAAGTTCTTCATCCTGATCTTGTTAAAGGACCTTGGACCAAAGAGGTGCAAATCAATTGTTGTTAATTGTCTGTATTCTGATGAGAATCAGAATCTGTATTTATATGGTTCATGACTGTTGTTATGTCTTTCTTGTTGGCTTCGCCAGGAAGATGGAATTATCATTGAGCAGGTTGGGAAACAAGGGAATACAAAGTGGTCTGAAATAGCAAAATATCTACCAGGCCGCATAGGCAAGCAATGCCGAGAAAGGTAGTTAGCAACAGCTGGTGCATTGAATCCCCAGAATGTAATGTTGAGGCTGTGTTGGATTTTGAATTTGTGGAAGGATAAAAGGAACAGGAAAAGTGAAACAAATTTGGCTTCTACTTCATTCCCTTTTCATTTCCCGTTTCTTCTCTCTTCACAAATCCAAAATCCAAACACAAGAATATTGGACACATTTTACTTTTGAATACTGTTTAGTCCTCTCTGGTAATTCAAAGTCACTAGTTTAGCTCTAGTTCATAGTGTTTTGAGACATACATTTCTTTTATTAAGAAAAGTTAAAAAGTAAATTATTGCTTGTGCAGGTGGTACAACCATTTGAATCCAGGGATAAACAAAGGTCCATGGACTGAAAAGGAGGAATTGGAACTTATTAGCGCCCACAAAATATATGGGAACAGATGGGCAGAAATAGCAAAGATTCTACATGGAAGGTAATGGTTCATTAAAAGATTGCTTTTATGTGAAAAATCTTGATGGATGGTAGCTGTATGAGCCTGTCATATTTTCTTGCATAGTGTAGATTATAGGGCCAAGCAATCCATTCTCTACTGACTAACCACGTATAGTGGATTGACTGCCACAAACACAAGTTCAAGTACAATGCTAAAGCGTACCCTAATTGGTTTTAGGGTGAACTGGTGAAAGTTGGGACCAAAAATTGGTATCTGAGCCTTAGGTCTCGTGTTCAAGTCACCAAGGGTGGTTCCCCATGGGGGGATTGTTAGGTTCCTTGTGTTTTGGAAGTTACAGAAGGTTTTAATGGGATATTGTCATTGTACAAGTTATATGCAGTAGATCTCATTTGCATCATAAATATAGTCCCCTACATTAATGGCGAACATAATCAAAACCTGTGTGCATGTATGCTGATAGAGTGTGTAGTATAGCTAATGAGGAATTTATTTTGTCTGTTTCTTTATTGGGATTAACAGGACTGAAAATGCCATAAAAAATCATTGGAACTGCTCCATGAAGAAGAAATTGAATTTGTATTCAACATCTGGCACTGTTTCGAGTCATCCTGGATTCAATGACTGTGATAAAGGATGCGCAAAGTTTGAGCCCATAAAACAGCAACTTGGCCCACCATTCTCTTATGAGCAGAGGATTGACTATGAAAGAACGGTGGACACGTCTCTAAAATTGGTTCTTGGAAATGGTAAAGGAAGAGGGAATCATCCACAATCTTTCAAGCAAGGAGATTGTAGAATTCCTCAAGAGGGTTCATATTCAGTAACCCCTCCATTTAGGGCACATGGCTGGATTGGCGAACAATGCCAAGATGGGAATAACAACGTTAAAAACTCAGGCAACCCACATCAGATAATTGCTAACCAGCCCAATGCTCATGTGAATCCCTTGAGTTCATATAAGCATACCTGTAGTTCCTGGAGTTCATTTAAGCACACCCAAAACCCCTTGAGTTCGAATCCTCACTTGGATGTGACTGGTTATATTGGGCATAACTATACTCCTTGTGAAGCTGCTCTTCCTGTCACCAGTAAAAAGTTTCTTATGTTTCCGGAAAGAACACATGGCAATATGTTGTCTGTGAATTGCTTAGGTAGTGGAGATTCTGGACTTTCTAGTCAGACTCACAATTCTCCCTCATTCAGGCCGAATTATGAAAGTAACAAGAAAAGCAGTGATCCTGAAACGCCTTCAAAATTAATTGATAAAAGTCTTGGTGGGTTGTGTTATGAGCCACTTCAGGAGGAGGATTTGAACATTTTTGTGAAGACTGGTGAATTTTTGAGTACAGATAGCTATATTCGGTTACCATTAACTCCGACTTCCTTTTGTACTCCGAAGACAAATGAGAAGCATAAGTCTACTGATTATAGCAGCCCAGAATCAATATTGAGGAGTGCAGCGATGAGTTTTAAGAACATGCCATCCATTCTAAGAAAACGGGGCCTTAGAAATTCCAATCAAGCCAGCATTACGAGTTGCAGCGATTGCACAACAGAAGAAAATGCTGATACTACTATCAACGGTTCAGTTCTTCCAAATGCGAAGCAGCCTTTTTTCTCTCCCCCAAAGGCTCAGAAGCTTGAAAACTCAGCTGCAATAAGATCTGTAGAAAAACGCCTTGAATATGCATTTGATAATGTATCTGATTCTGCCAATTGTACAGTGAATGTATCGGTTGAAGCTGATGCTTCTGGCAAAAATCAAGACTCAGATGTCTCGGTTACTTGTTTGGGAGACTGAATTTATGCTGCTTGACTCTGCAGAGAATTTTGACTCCGATTTGATTTTGGTGAGTTCTTTTAGCTTCATATGTTTTGCTTTCATGCTTAGCTACTTTCCAAGTACCTCTTAACACGTTAATCACATTCACCATAATTTTTGTTCCTAATTTATTAAGAAAACCCTCCTTATGAATGCAAGATTTTTATTTGGTTTTGGGGCATACCGTCTATTTTTCTGCATTTGTATTTGTGATCAACACATTATGTGTTGTGAAGTGGAATTAAAACAATGACAGTTAATAGGTTCTAAAATTTGACTCTTTTTTTTTTCACAGGTAAATTTATTACATTTCATACATGTACATAGGGTATATATCAAGGTAGCATGGATTGCTGACTCCCAAAAATTTGATTGAGGCTTCCACGATGAAGAGGGTATGTGGGTAACATATTTGGTTGAATATCAACCATTCATGATTATAGAGAAATTATATGGTAGATGAAAATCGATGCTCAGGACATTAATACATTGATATTTTAATTTTCTCTATATAATTTTTTTAGTTTTTTAGTGTTTTTGATGCTAGATACTACTTCGCTTCCACATGGTTTGTTTGGGTGAGTTCATTATGTCTAGTGAAATTTGAAAATAAGCAAAATATGAATGTTTACACCATTTCATTTTTTATCCCAATGAATTATGTGAATGAAATTTCAGGACCCCAAAATTGCACACTTGTGGATTTTTTTGGTTTTTTGTATTTTTTCATCTTGAGTAAAAATAAAAATTTAATCATTTTTTTAAAAAAACTTTTTAGATACATTTAATCCAAATATATACTTAGAAAGTAAAATATTTGGGACAAAATTTAGAAGAAAAAAATTTTAAATACAAAAATATACTTATTTTTTGTTTTTATATGTAAGTCGTAATAGATGGACTTATTGTTCAATAGGTCTTGTGAGAATTAATGACGTTTCTCATCAAATACTATTAAAAAATATCACTAATTGTTAATTTTCAGAGATAGTTTGACAATTGTCACAAAAAAATGTCACTAATTCTAATATTTTTAACGATAATTTTAAAAAATATCACAAAAAAAGGGTCGTTAATTTTTAATTTTTAGCGACAGTTTAAAAAATTCGTCACAGAAAAATGTTACTAATTATAAATTTTAGAGACAATTTATAAAACTATGACAAAAAAAATCACTAGTTGTCAATTTTTAGCGATGTATGCAAAAATTCGTCACAAAAAATTATTTTTAACAATGATTTTATTAGGACTTATTTTCAATAAGATTTTATGGGAATTAAGTCAAATTATTAAAAATTATTGGTAGTTTACCCTTTGTTTTTTGTTTTGAGTGATTTTTATTAGATTTCTTCACAAATAAATTACTTTTTAAGTGGACCTAAATTAACTGAATTTAAAAAGTAAAAAAAAAAAAACTGACTAATTCAAAAATATTACAAAAAAAAAAAAAAAAAAAAATTACTAAAGATAAAAAATAAAAAATAAAAATAAAAAAACTAAACACATAATTTGAGTCTAAAAACCAAACAGAGTGATTTGGAGTGCAAGTTCTAGTTGAAAGATTATGTTTGAATGAATTAGAAACATTGAATCAAGAAAAATTCTCACTCAGATTCAAGCTGGACAGATTTGAAGATGAACAATTGAGACATTGATGCTTGATAATACGCTAAAGCTTTATTTATTTATTTTTCCATCAACACATTAGAATTTTTTTTTTTTTTTTTCAATTTTGTCATTTCAATCGTTGTAGAAAATTCACTTTGTTTCTATTTTTTCTTAAGATGGTAATGTGCGAGGTAGAAATATAAGTATTATACAATTTGATTTTAAATATGTATAAAAAATTTGATTTGATATGAATTATTTCAATACCTTTACACATCTTATTATGATCATTTTATTTATTTATTTATTTATTATAATTTGAACCGTTTATTTTTGTAGAACTCATCAAGTACTTCATGCATGTCAAAAATCATATGGATCAGATATCAATAACCATGTGATCGAATTATCTTTATCATAAAAAAAATTAAACAATATGTTTTTCTTTTCAGAAATAGTATAAAAAATATGTAATTTGATTACATAGCTATCGATATCATATCAATATAATTTTTGATATACATGAAGTACTCAACGAATCTTACAAAACAAACGGTTTGAACCATAAAAATAAGCTTACAATAAGTCATCCAACATATTGAGGCATAACAATTAGTACGATGCCCTTGGCATAACAACAACCGCATGCCCCATAAGTGTTATCAATCAAGAGAAATGCATTTCTTTTCTTTATAAATCATCCAATCTAAACGAGTTGTAAGCAGTGGTAGAACTAGGGATTTTGTTCAAGAGGGGCTTACGTATATGCATAAAAAATATTGAATTAGCTTCAATACATTATTAATTAAACATAATTTCTTATGCAAGCATTGTCAAGGAAGTGTTTCACAAGAAAACTAAATAAATCTAACAAATAGTTTTTTTAATTTTTAAAAACTTTGAACTATTCATTAGATCTCAGTATAAAATCAGTTAAACCACTCTTTTAAGCTATTTTATTGATTAATATAATCTAATAAATAAAAAGTAATGATTAAGACATAACCCTCAAATTTACATTGACGTGGAATGTTACATTTTAATTGATTTATTTAGAAATCAATTAATTAAGACCCAACTCTTGCCATGTCATTGTAGATAAATTTAAGAGTGAAATTCTAAGTTCTCTAACATTATTACTCATAAAAATGTATACATACCATTTGATTTTTAAAATTAAAACAAGAAGGACATGACCTCTCATATTAATATAAAATGGGTAAATTACAAATACACCCTTGAGATTTTATTAAAATACGAATCGCCCTCTGTGGTTTTGAAAATTACATTCTAGCCACTAAGGTTTCTAATTTCATAGCAAATTGCTCCTTTTATTAATAAATCATCAAGTCAATTAACTGTTTTTAATGATGTTAAAAATATGTTTCAATTAATAATTTAGGAAATTTTATTATTATATAGGAAAACAATTATAAATTTTATTTTTTCAGTTAATTCTGTTTAATAAAAAATTCTAATAAGGGGTATTTGTAATTTTTCAAATCACAGGAACCAATCTGTATTTTAAGCAAACTTCAGGAGGTGTATTTGTAATTTATCCTAATAAAATCGGCTTGATAAAATTGATGTTATTATTTTAAAATATAAAATAATTAGAGGTCATTTTATTATATATTGTAAAATACTAATGAAATAGAAAGTTATTAAGGTAATTTTTATAAAATTAAGAAATTATCTCATTATATATTTTATAAATACTAAAAATATAAAATTAATAACAAATTATCAAAAATCGGAGGGCTCCTCCTAGCCCCTACACAATTCCACCCTTGGCTGTAAGTCACGGTTCGAGTTCTAATGTCTTATTTTGCTCGATAGGCAAGTCTAGTAAGCAGTTGCATGTATGCAAATTTACACTACTCAAATGAGTTCAAAACACCATGGCTAAGCACAGTACTTAGAGAAAAAAGGTTTTTGTATGATCCCTCTTTTAAGTGTAAGGGATTAATAACAATTGCCAATGCCAGCTAAAAAAGAATAATTTAGTCATTCAAAAAGATATATAATCCACAGATATGATAAGAGAGTTAGAGCTGCGCAGCTCTACTGAGCTAGCAATGCACCCCAAAAAAAGAAAAAAAAAAAAAAAAAAAAAAGGAAAAAGACAAAACACAACAAGAAAAAAAATAAATTAATGCTATTTTAGAGCTCTAAAACATCTTTCATATAATCTATAGCTGATTCAATAGTGATGTGTTGCTAAATGCACATAACTTCACAGACCACTGGGGTTGGTGGTCCAGTGGTGAAGGCATTGTCTTCCCACAGCAGTGAATCAAGTTCGACTCCTGGGGGGCACAAAATGTTGGATTTTCCAATGCTTCTCTTCAGAGATCTCGCGCTGTATTCAGATCCAGTTACCTTGGGGCCTGGGCCCACGGATACCATGATGACACATGACACATAAAGATATACAAGAACATAAACACTCTTCATAACAATCATTAATCAAAAGGCCTTAATTACCTCATTGAACTCCCTTGCTTGTGGAAGCATATTTAAACCAGTTGTTCCATCCAGAACTGAAAGGATCTCCTATAAAGATTAGGAAATAATTGTGGATAAAAACTGAATTACCACATGACAAAGGAAGACATAAATTTGGTGAAGTCGAAAAGGACTCTCCATCGCATGATCCAGATATGATGAATACAAAAAATGTTATGCACCATCTTGTGACACCAGGAGACAAATCAAACACGACATAAAAGATACATTAATAGCAGATATAGAACTCATTCAAGAGAAAGGTCAATGCAACTATTAAATTTAGAATTCCATTTAAGTGACTAGAAGCTAATTGCAAGCATCAAGAAGGGGAAAGGAAATAGGGTTTGGCACCAGGCAGTATATATATGATATATCTATGTTATACAAGCACACGTATATAACTGTAAAATTGTTGTTGCTGAACTTCATTTGTATTTGGGAATATGTTATGGGGCTGGTTCCTGATGCATATTGAATGTGGTTTGATGTGCAGCCTCTGTTTCCGGGAGAAAGTGGGGTTGATCAGCTTGTGGAAATTATTAAGGTTCCAAGTGATTTATTTGTTTCGCGCATTCTCTTATTAACTTTTTTTTTCTTGAGTGGTTCTGTTTTAGATATTGGGGACACCAACTAGAGAGGAAATTAGATGCATGAATCCAAATTACACGGAGTTCAAATTTCCTCATATCAAAGCTCACCCATGGCACCAAGTTTGTTAGAAATTCCACATGGAGGATGCATCTTTGATTCATTTTCATCGATAATGAGTGCATTACGTTCATGACACACAAACCTAATGAACTTGCATTTTCTAGGTTTTTCACAAGCAAATGCCACCCAAAGCTGTGGATCTTGTGTCGAGGCTGCTCCAATATTCACCAAATCTACACTGCACTGCTGTAAGAAATTTGATCTTTGCTTGTTATATATCAAATAGAAAAATCATTACACATAGACATTTATTAAACAGCTCATTGTCAATTTCAGTTTCAATTTGTTCTTGAATTTCTCATGGAGATATTTTATTTGATAAATGGTTTTTACTTTTATTTTGCTTCTAGATTTTGTGAATGCTGTACGTACTTGTGCTCTGTTTGGTTCTTGAATTTGTTAAGGGAAAGGAAAAAAGAATGGAAAAAGAAATTTACGGAAAGTAAAATGAGAGAAGCTATGTTACTACTAGCTTTTGTTTTGTTGGACTGTGAAAACAAGAAGAAAATGGATAGGTGTTTCATAGAAAAATGAAATGCACAAGTATGTCATTCTGCGATATTCTAATATAGCATTTTTATATTATATTTTTAATTAGACATTAGCCAAATTGATAAGGAAGTTAACATTGTCTTATGATTGACTTTGTAATCAATAGATTATATTGTTATCTTGTATGAATCATATAAAATTTTCTAAACTTGTCGAAGAAAGTGTAAAATGTGGTTTCAAAAGTTGTCTTTTAATCAAAATCTATGACTTTTTCAGTTGGAGGCAAGTGCACATCCTTTCTTTGATGATTTGAGGGAACCAACAGCAAGCTTGCCAAATGGTAGACCACTCCCTCTCTTCGATTTCATGCCTCAAGTTGAGTACCGTAACTTACATTTTCTTTTCTGGGGGGTTTTGATGGTTCTCTTGTTGATCGTGCCAAAATTTCTCACAGAGCTGGCTGGGGCATTGCATGAATTGCATCAACGTCTTATTCCCGAGCATGTGAGGAAATATATTTGTGCCAAGAAGCGGTGGTTGTATCTGCAGGCAATGTAGATGAGTTTTTGGATGCTTAGTTACCTGCACTATGCCAAGTAATCCACGAGGCACCATTCTTTGGACTTCCACAGTATATTTCTGATGAAACCAGTGACTTAGGGTTATGGGTCGCTCGTCAAGGCAGACTTTGACAAAGAAATATGCTACAGAATCATGATGTGCTTCGCTATGTGGTTTTTTTGTTCTTTTCATCTACCGTTATAGATGAGTTGTCATGATTTTTTTGTTTTTTGTATGTCCTAGTTATATGCATTTTGTATGCGTCCACTCTTGGAATGGATACTACTAACAAAACAAGGTGATCTAGATGGGTTTAGGATGCTGCCGTTCAATGTATGCTCTGTTCTCTTTTGGTGTTATCAAAGAAATTTGAGTTTCCATTTAATTTCAGGCCTGTTATTCCTTTGCTATTTTTCATTTTCCGGTGTGCTTCATCTTACTGTGGCTGGACCAGAGTTGAATTGCAAATGGATTTGTTTTCAAATGGCGATTGTAGTAGAATGTTAATTATGATTGGCTATACTGTAATATATTGTTATAGATTAGGAGTATAGAAAAGTTAAATTTAGGGTTGCAACTCAGTCAGATTTTGTCCAATCCAAGTATAATTGTGTTAGTTGTTTATCTAATGAATATGATCTAACACTTCAGATTGATGTAGCACCATACAATGATTAATATTCTAAGCATATATTTATTTTTATAATTCATGGTTTGAATATGAATTACCGAACGAAAATCCTATCAAGTACCTAACCAAGGTATAAGCCAAATTATGCATTTTTGTTCAGAGTAATAAATAACCGAATCATGAGTTTTGTATAGTAGTTGATATCAAAATGAAATCCATGAAAGAATTGCTAAAGAGTAATTTGGACAATCCAATTCAAAAATTTCCTAAATCGTATCCCTAAAAGAAATTAGAAAAGGAGAAACTCCAATCTATATAATAAGAGTGAAAAAGCAGAGTTCATAAATAATTCTGAAATTGACTGATACTATTGAGTCCCATCTGTAATTTTACAAGTGAATTGTGCAGGGGGTTTGGTAGTTGGGAGATTCAAATACTCCAGACCGGTTACTAATCTAGTATACCTATATATTAGGCCTCTTTTGCCACCACTCCACTACTGGCTCGGATCCAATACTTAACTTCCAAGTTTTCTTCCAACATGAGAGAAAACGAAGACGATGAAATTACCTTCACCTGAAGTTGTGGTGTATCATCCATTCTCTTAGCTACACCAGACTTAAAGCTTACCAGCCCCTTGGTTTTTGATCTGCATTGTAACATCTAGTTTTCAATGAGAGTGAACACAACATCTTCATATACACTAAAACATTACAGGCAAAGGGAAAGAAGAAGGGTTGAGAAAGTTTAAACCTTTAAGCATTGTCGCAGTTGAAGTCACAAACTTGTCTCCAGAATGGAAGCTAGAGAGGAAAAACAAGTCAGAAGATAGACTTTCTACCAATAATCCCCACAAGAACACATTCCTTCTCTGAAATGGTGAAAACAATTTGAATCCCTTAAAATAATATGACGCTGAAAAACCCTTGAAATAAACTTCATAGCAGTATGGCAATCCCCACAGACACGAAGGTTCTTATAAATCCTAATGGGTGCCCCCTGTGGCACAAAGAGAAGCCCGAAAGCAACAGCCAACTTCTCACTGTGATAAGAAAGACCAAGTTCCTTACCCTCTTCATCTACATCATGAAGTGCAAAATTCATGTCGGGTACATACCCGGCCTCCTTAATCATTATCATAATCTCATCGATCTTCAAATAAATCTGCTCTGTCTTTGGATGACTTCGATCTTCAGACATAAACGTGTGAACCGTGCTGTTCATCTCAATCCAACTACGTCCGGGCTCCTTACAGACCCCCCTCGATTTCATCAATCTTCTTAATCTCGCAGCATCGTCCCAAAAACCAGCTGCAGAATAGATATTAGATAACAAAACGTAAGGCACAGCGTTTTGGGGCTCCAATTCAAAGAGGGCCTTCGCTGCCCTCTCAGCCAGTTCTAAATTCCCATGTACTCTACATGCACTAAGCAATGCTTTCCACACAGTAGCATCAGGTTCAACGTCCATTTGATTCAGTAACTCCTTGGCCTCATTCATCTTCCCCGAGCGCCCTAGAAGATCAATTATGCATGCATAGTGATCAGGACCCGGTTTTATCCCATAAACTTTATCCATAGATTCAAAATATTCGCGCCCCTGTTCTACAAGGCCTGCATGGCTGCAAGCAAATAGTAAGCCAATAAAAGTAATGAAGTCGGGTTTCGTGCCACTTACTATCATCTCATTGTAAAGTGCCAGAGAGTCCTTTCCTTTACCATTTTGAGCATAACCGACGATAAGAGCAGTCCAAGTAATAACATCCCGAATTCTCATCAAGTTGAAAACTTCATTAGCATCTTCTATGCAACCACATTTTGCGTACATGGCTACAAGGGAATTATCCACTGATAAGGTCGACTCAAGGCCCAATTTCATAAAGTTGGCATGAACTTGTTGCCCAAATTCCAGAACTGTCAATTCTGCACAGGCACTCAAGACACTGGCGATGACAATTTGATCAGGTTCAACCCCTACAAGTCTCATTTCACAAAACAACTTGAGAGCAATTTCGTGGGATCCGTTATATGCATAACCAGTGACTAGGGAAGTCCATGAGATTACATCTTTGTCTGTCATATGGTTAAAAACTTCAAAGGCAGAACACAAATCTTCCCCTTTTGCATACACGTCGACAAGAGCATTGCTTACAAGCTTGTAATCCTCAAACCCAGTTTTGACAATCAAGCAATGGACGGATTTTGCATTTTTCATATCTTTTATGGAAGCACAAGAATTTAGAACAGAAGGGTACGTGAAATCATCAATACCCATATCTCTTGCATGCATTTTCTTGAATAACAGCAATGCTTCCTTTTCAAAGCCCTGCCTAACGCACCCAACTACCATGGAATTCCAAGAAACCACATTGTCACCTTCCATAGTCTCTAACGCTCTCCTAGCACTATTCAAGTCTCCGCATTTTGCATACATATCAACCAAAGCACTTTCAACAAACATATTGGCCTCAAAACCAGTCTGAATTATGTGACCATGCACTTGTGCCCCAAAACGACGAGCTTTAACTGCAGCACAAGCTGTCAACACACTTGGAAAAGTATACTGGTTGGATACTACCCCTTCAGCTTGCATGTCTCGGAAGCACTTAATTGCTCTAAGCCCATCGTTGCTTTGAGAGTACCCAGTAATCATGGCAGTCCACAAAACATGACTTTTCCGATCAGGTGTTGCTTCAAAAATATACTGGGCTTCTACAATGCAGCTGCATTTTGCATACATGTCAACAAGACCAGTGTTAACAAAAGCATTAGAGTTAAATTGGGTCTTTATGGCATGAGCATGAATTTGTTCCCCTCTTGAAAGCAAGGAATTTGAAGAACACATCCTGAGAAGACTGCCCAATGTGAACTGACTTGGCTTCTGCCCCTCATACTGCATTTGCCAAAACAAATAGAAAGCTTCAGTTTCGCACCCATATCGACAATACCCAGAAATGAGAGACGACCAAGTAATCGAACACTTGTTTGGAGTCTCATCAAAGAGTTGTTTAGCTTCATCAAGTCTTCCTGAATGTGCGTAAGCAGCAATCATTGTGTTCCAAGTAAAATCGTCTCGTTCATACATTTTGTCAAACATTTGGCGGGCTTCATCGAGTTGACCCGATTTCCATAACCCATTGAGATTTCTATTCAATTCATATATCGGAGGTACATTGCTAACTGAATTCAGACAGCTGTGAAAGCTATGACACAGTTCTATGCCCACATAACGCAAGGAATTCAATTGCTTCAAGTTAAATTTGTACATAACCAACCACCAACTTTTCCCCTATTTGGGCTGTTCAATACTGAACATAGCATGAACTATCCCCATATTTCAACAATTCTTGATTTTTGTCCAAATCTCCTTTAAAAATGCATATAACTCCCACATTATTTCTTGAATTTTCGTCATTGATCAAGACAATTTCAAATCATCGCTCATATTTCTTTTAAAGATTGTTTTGAAATATAAATTTATTTTATTAATAAAATTTTTTAAGGTTTTCTCCGAACTATTACCACTATTATTCTGAATAACTTCCAAATCACTAATTTTCTACTTGGTGAGTATTTTCCGAATCTTGAATTTGTTTACTACGTTTTAAATTCAACTTATTCTGATACAGATGGATTATTATGAGGTTACAAGGGTTATGTGAGCAATGTTACTGTCACGACCCCAACCCGCCCCTAGAGGTTAGTGTGGTGACCGGCTAGTAATCATAGATTACTTATGGCCTCAAAGACAAAATTTCAAAATATTTGAAATAATATCAAGGCCTGAAGCAGAAGCAAAATAGAATTAACATTGTCCATTGGGCTATGCATATAATCAGATTCAAAATATATAAAACATCTCATCACACATTTACAATATAGATACAGGTATTTATTTAATACATAACCCAAGATCACACATAGGACATAATAAAAGCTTGACAAATGAAGCTTAGCATAGCTTGATCAAAAATAAAGACTAGCCTTGATAAGGTGGCATTTCTTAGGTGGCTTTACAAAAAAGGATTGACTCCAAGCAATATCTAATGCGGGTTTTCTTAATGCTCACCTACATATATATATATATATATATATAAGAGTGACCTGGAAGTCCAATGAATAATCTCAATGTAAAGAAGTTAAATGAATGAGTTTCATATTTAACAAAACATTCTTATCATGGACAAAAACATTTTTATGAAATATGCCATACATAAAATTGATTAAACCTTTCATAATTACACACAATACGTTGTTCACAGATATATCATTCAGAAATTCATCAGACCTTTCAAAGATTATCAGATGATGGAATAATTTCCGATAATATTAAACATATTTAAACTTGTCAGAATGACCTCCTGTCCATTACTTAGCAGAATGACCTCTGGTCCAATACATGACAGAACGACCTCTAGCCCAATATACAACAGCTGTACGGAACGACCTCTGGTCCAACATATAGCAGAACGACCTCTAGTCCAATTCATGACAGAACAACCTCTGGTCCAATGTACAACAGTTGTATGGAACGACCTCTGGTCTAACATATAGCAGAATGACCTCTAGTCCAACATATAGCGAAATGATCTCTGGTCCAATACACAATAGCTGTACAGAACGACCTCTGGTCCAACTTATAATTTATAAAGAATTCATTTAAGGATGTCACAATAAATTATCAAATAGGAACTGATGCATTTATGACAAAATAGAAATTAGAAAACTTAACATTTCAAAAGTACTTATTCGAAAAACTTATCATATCATAAACAATTGAACATTCATAGCGTATCTTATCGAATATTTCATAGACAAAACATAGATTTCATAAATCATCATATAACATAGCCATCTCTAAAATCATTTATACAAAGATATATTTACAAAAACATTGCTCACCCTGCCTAGTTCGATGTTTCACCTTGGCGTTCCAACATACATATTTCACATAACCAAACAAATAATTTTCTCTCTTATTCATTTATTTATGTTGATTTCTTACTTTGCTTCTTTAATCAATTAACTTTTGTTGGTTCTTAGCTCAATAATCCTTAATGAGGCTTAACTCATGCCTATGAATGCTTGAAAAGAGATGAGGATGAAAATACGAACAAGATGCAATTTCTCAAAATATGCTAAAATAAGCCTATCCGCTCAAGCGAACCTTTGGTCGCTCGAGTAAATTGTGCTATCTGCAAAAATACTGGATTCCTATTATGTATAGTCAAGCGGTGACCATACCGCTCAAGCAATCTATAAAATTTTGGGCTCCAAAATGTAAGAAAAATGGCATCAAACACATCTTCAAATTTCGGGTCATGCTAGCTTGCTCAAAAATATGGAAACACTTTAGAAAATATAAATATATGATCATTTAGAAATCATTTACTCAAAACCTTATCAATTTAACAATGTTAAATCCAAAACTTCCACACATGTAAAGATTTTTAAATTCTTTTTCTTTGAAGGATATAACATGAAATTGAATATGGAAACTCCTGAGTTTTTGAAAAAAAATACAATACAAAAGCTTTCATGTATCAACATCTCAAAAATCAAACCCAAAATCATGAATACATTATTCTAGGTTAAATTCTTCATTCATGTAAAGATTTTCCAACTCTTTCCTCTTGCTTTTCAAAACATGAAGTTAAATACATAAATCCATGAAATTGAGAGTGTGAACTTATGGAAATTTTTTGAAAATAATCAAAAGATGAGCTCTGTTATGCATACAATTCCAAATTAAAATTAAAATGATGAAACTGAACATAATCTTCTATGAACATGCATGTAACCCATTTCTTACTCAAAACCCAATTTTTTTCTAATTCCATGAACATAATTCCAAACCCTTCTCAATTTCAGGTATAATATAAAAATTCTACACAAATCAAGCATAATTTCCATACCTCAAGCTTAAATTTCAACAAGTTTAATTGATTTCTTCCTTAGCTTTCTATTTCTTCATCAAAACTGAATCAAATAGTTAATTAAATTCCCATATGGTTCAATACATGAAACTAAACTGATTCAATTCACCAATTATACCTTCTTAAGCCGTGTAAGCCTTCAATTTCTAATTCCAAAATAAATCCTTAACAAAACCATATATGAATCAGACTCAATAATTCTCATAAATCTCAAATTAAATCAGAATAATAGACAATTCAAATTCAAATCTCCTTAATTAATTAAATGCCAATTATTATACGTGGTGGAGTCGTCACAGTCTCTCCCCCTTAAAAAGTTTGGTCCTCCAAACTTAAGGCACTTGTACTGAAAACCAATCATTCATTTCATTTTTCTATTCCCAAGTAATATCTTTTCTACTCGAATCTCATCATAAGAGTTCAACTCATTTTCATTTATTTGTTGGTTAATAACCCAAATTGGTGATTCATCACAATCTCTATTGTTATCAAAAGTTATCCAGTAATGATTAGTAATATAAAGCAGATCTCGAAGTCAACCTCATAACATCAAACCATGAAACATATTAATCACTAACATACTGTAGACGCTCCCCGAGGGCCTCATGCTACAGTTCAGACTCAAATGTTACGGTTCTTAATCTGATCTCACAATGTGCAATGTGAGATTGATAAATCACCAAAGAGTCCAAATCCGGCAAATCGTTTTGGAAAACTGATTTTTAAGAAAGAAGTGCCAAACATGGACTGTTTTTCCAGATACAGAGTCGCCACCTAAATATTTTGTTCTGGGGGAATTTAGGAAACCCTGACTCGTGCCTAAGGCCACGTGTTCATCATCACCAAAGTTGCCGTTCGGGAACTTGGGTACGATTGGGGAAGGTCATGCAATGAGCACCACCTCTTGCCCGATCAAAGATCAGCCACTACTAAACATGATATCTTGTTTTTGAAAACATATGCGTTCTTATCCCGGTTATTAGCCTAGAATTACTATGTAATGTGCACAACACACAAGTATAGACTGGATCGCCTAAATTGGAACAAAACATTTCATGTTTGTTTGTTTGAAAATGGTTTGAAAATGCTACTCGCAAGTAGGCTAAGACGTGGATTTGCCACCCTCAAGTGGGCTTAAGAAAACATGATTTTGCCACTCCGCAAAGTGGGCTTAAAACTCGCATTCGATGAATTGTTCCAATTCAAGCAATCCAACCTTCACCCGCAGGCATTCAGGCAGTTATATCATTTAAGTAGTTAGTCTCATGGCAAGCATGCTATCATGTTAACACTAACATACATGCAAGATGCTAAAGCACAAAAGCTTACCTAGTACTCCGAGCCAAAACAAAAGCTAGTTAGTAATCAATGCATGATCCTAGCTATGTCAACAATGCCTAATGCAACACATGCAAAATGTAACTAAGATAGGCTCGGCTATTCTAAGATGGCATATGAGATGCAACTTGATAATCATGTATTCAAGTCGGAATTGAAATACAATGCAGTTTGTATGATGCACCGAGTCTGGTGCATGCAAGACAGATGAATGAATACAAACATGCAAGCATAAGGATGCTAATCAAAATATAACCTAGAACTAACCATCGTAAGCGGTTAAGTAAAAGGGAGAAAGACGTGGGGTTGGAAGACATTCACACACTCATGCACACTTATTACAAAATTCGCCCTCTCGATGGAGGGTCTGAAAGAATAATACAAATCAACTAACTAATCAACTAACAAGCTAATTAATTAATTACACAACTACTTAACTAATTAAACAAATTAATTAAGCTACTAAAGCAGTAAAGAGGCCTCGGGAAGAGGGACAAATGCATGAACGCTTGGCTTCGCTCGGAAATCTATCACCATGCTCATGCTGCCTTTGTTTACACTGTTCTGCACCTCTGAAAACTGCACAAGTCTCAAAGATGCTTGTGAATCACCTTCTGGGTGCTGTGGGATTTCACCGGCCAAAATATAGGAACACCAGCCATGTGGAAATGGTCATCGACCATTTGTAAGGCTCTCGACCAAAAATGTTTAGTCGACCAGCACTGAGGATGGCCGGCCGGTCATATCTTCCTGCAGAATGCTGTTCTGCTGCAGTAGAGGACAAACAGAGCATGGCAATGCATTTACAAGGCAATGTTTGCACGACTACCCTCCTTATCATGTTCGAGACTCAAAGGAGTGTAGTCCTCGACCCTCGGACCACCAATCACGCATTTCGATGCATGATGGCCAAAGAGGCCAAGTGTGCAATTCACTATGGAATGAATGCACAAAAGGCATGTGAATGCTTCACACTCTATCATGTTGGATCAAGAGTGTCGGCGACTGGGGATTGAAGCACGTTTCGTCACTTTAAGTACGAAACGCCCC